ATTCTGATAAAATTCTGATTTTTCACCTCCTGGACTATTAATTTGTATGTGAGTATAATTCATGACCATTGTAACTCCAGGAAAATGTGCTATTTGATAAAACTGGTTTTTTATTTTTGGAATCAGGTTTCTATTAAATGACAAAATGCAGTTGAAATTTCTTTTACTATGCTACTTATAGTAGGTTGGCTTATTCCATAGATATCACCATTCATTTATTCATTGAAATAAGCTACATTAATATAATATCAGAACTTACAGAATGTGTTAATAAGTGCAAACTGATTTGTCATACACTCATACCTGATAACATCCTGAAGCGTAAAATCTTAGTGCAGTTAAAAGTTTCATAACGGGACTTATATAGGTAGTCCTTTTAAATCAATTACTGGGTTTATATTTTTAATACTATAGGCAATAAAATGTCTGAAAAACAATGCATTTAGGAAATCGAAACCTCTCAAAAAACTGTGTGTTGTTAAGAATTCAATGGGATTTTGCATGTTTCTAATATACCTTTTTGATATTTTTTGTACAGTATAAAGATTGTCAATATAAAAATTATCAAAATAAAAGTCATCATTCTACATATCCATATTAAACATGTATATCAGTTATTAGTGAACAAAGATTAAATTAGCAGTAAAAGCTATATGTATAAAAACATTTTTATTTAAAATATATAGGTAGCTGCTATATTTTATTATACTTTAACTGACATTTGTAGGTAATTTTTAAACTACATAGGTACCTATTTTATAAAATAATGGAATTCAACACTTCAACTGTAACATATACACATAATATATTATACACTAATGGAATCATATAAGTTGTATTTTAAATTGTTATTATTAATGTTTTTAGAGAGAAGTGAAAAGCTTAAAAAAATTATGGGAAGCGGAAAAAGCAAAGTCAAGAAAAGAATTCACTTCAGAAAGGTCAAATAGATTAAAAACTGGGGGTGGATCACTTGAAACATCACATGAAGTTCAAAATCCTGAGGTTGAAGAAATGATTGGTAGACCTCACATTATTGAATGGCAAAATAATTTTGATAGTGATGGTGTATCATTTGCAAATTTAAACAGCAGTAAGTAAGATAATTTAAGTAACACTATTACAGTACTTGCAGATATATAAATTAACTTTATCTATTAAAATGTTCTATTAATTTCTTAAGGCGACACTCCATATAACATTGAGAAGTCATCAATTAAAAGTCYTTTGATACAGCAGGAATTAGGTACCTATTAATTTATAATTAATTTATWGTCATATTTGTTTGGTATCTTATGTCAATAATTTTAAATCTAGATGCAACACATTTTATTGTGATAAATACAAATGCAGCCAATGAAACCAATCAACTCCCTATAGAGCCCACTGGTAATCCTGTGAACTGAAATTACTTTCAGCTGTTATAATGATGCTCTATAAATACATTTTTGTTATTTCTAAATGTTGAAATTAATGTTTTCTGAACTTTTTCATAGAAAACAATCTGAAAGAAAATCTGGTAATAAGTCAAAAACTGATGGCATTTTAAAAGAATGTGAAGTAAGAATAAAAAGAAAAAATAGCACTTGACCATGAAGAAAGTATGAATAAGCTACAGGTAATGTAATGCCATTGTATTTGTTTGTTTTATGAATTTAGTCTTCTTCTAACTATGTATGTAGTGTATTAATTAAATATTTAATAATTATTTTAAGAACTGAACATATTTAATACAAGCAATAGTTTAATATTGTGTGCAGTCGTGCAGACAGTTGATGTAACTTGATTTATGTAGTGTTTGATCATTGTAATAGAAAGCCTTAAATTATAATTCAGTAATATAATATCATTGTCTACTAAAAATGATTCTGAACGGAGACGGTTTGTCAGCCTATAATATTACTGTATGTTTGTTTAAAGAAGTTGGCGGTCTTAAACAACAGACTTTACCATAAATAATAAAAATAGTAGTTAGTGAACTTTATACATAGAAATAATTTTTTTTTCTGATCTGAAATATACATCGACAACTAGGCCATCAGTAAACTAATTTTTGATTACATTGTTAGTATTTTAGTATTTACATGATTACATTAAATTAATTTGTACAAATCTGTTTTAGAAATAATTTGTGGACAATAAATGTAATAAATAAATAAATGTGATAATTATTGTAATATAATATATAAA